AAATCTATATTTTCATTATTATCTATACATGAATAATAGTCGACATTCACATACTTAAATAACACTAATTCGAGAACTATTTATATGAAATAGAACTATTATTTAAAGTTAGTCTGAATCTGTATTATGCGGATTTTTTACTCAAATTACACTACAATGAAATGCTTAATTAGTCCAAATAGAAACTTATCTAGATTTATAAAGTGGAAAGATTTATTTAATTTGTAAACTCAAAAATACCTTATTGACTTTAAAATTCTTTCGCCCATAGAAAGCTACATTATGAATGAGTAACATGGACTGTAATTATTTTCAAAAAACAATACGAAGCTAGAGAGGGATACTAATTTGTAAATAAGATATAATTATAAACATTTTTACTATTTTACGTCGATGTCCAATCACTACTGGGCGCGTCTCACTGAACGATAATGAATCTTTTAAATAAATAATTAAAATAATATAAGTGATATTATAATTAATTAAGTAATTATAATATCAACTTCATAAGTAATTCTTTTTGTTGATATTTTAACAAAAAAACAAATGATATTAATATTGATGTTATATAAGTAAAAAAGTTGAAGATTGCTTAACACTAGCAAGTTGATTGTTAAAACAATCCTCTGTACATGACACCAATTATTATGACTTTACTTTGTTCTAAAGAGTTTACACAAATTCTAAATAAAGTTACAACTTCCAAGATAAGTATGTCAAGCACAATGGAAACGCCCAGATCACTGGAAATCTTAATTGTAACTGCTGGCCGTCATGCCAAGTTCAGTCGTCTCCTCTCAATCGCATTGGTATGTAGGAACTTTAAGAGTTCATTTCGACTCGATACTTCAAATCGAATATTTTTATCAACTTTTGACTGGTCATAACAAATTAACTAGCAAACGGTAAACTATTAAATTATCTATTGAAAATTTAATTTACAGGGAAGAAAGAAATGGCTCATTTATACCGGGACCACACAGCAAAAATATCATGATATTATTGTTTATTAAAGTAAAAAAACGCTTTTGTAGTTTTATTACTGCATAGGTATTAAAAGAATATATAGATTCTTTTATTGTGAAGGAAAGCATACAAATTTATATTTGATAACAATTAGCTACTAGATAGTGTTTGCATACTTTTTCTTTTAAAAATGCTTATCTAATAGTGTCTACACGTATATAAAACGTATACATATCTACGTATGTGCCTTGTTTATTTATTTATATATTTTTGTACATTCACTTGTAGTATAGACGTTAGGATATAGCAAAAATGTACACAGGCAGACCCTTAAAGGGATTTCTTCTAGTCAACCTTGAGAATCCGAAAGGGGAAAGTGGTCTATAGGGTTTATATATAAAGCATAACATATATGGTGCAAAATAAATAATATATATACATATACACATAGATACATATATAGATATAACTAAATATATATAAACATAGAATAACTATTATACATATAAATAACTCAGCTGTCAATTGTATTGTAAAATCTTTTTATTTGAGCTTTGAAAGAATGGACGGTTTGCGCCATTCTGGTATCATTTGGGAGGGAATTCCAGAGTCTAGCAGCTTGCACTGTAATGAATTTGGTGTAAAAGTGGGAGTTATGAATAGGTAATTCCAATGAATGATGTTATAGACAACGCACACGGGGATCGGGGATTCTGAAGGTAAATGTCTCTCGGAGATAATCTGGGGCCGAAAGGTAAAACAAAATTTTGTACAGCAAGAACAGAATGAGCATTTTGCGCCATTATCTTATTGGAAGTCAGTTGAGGTGCTTGCGGTAATTAGAGACATGGTCACATTTACGTAAACCAAACACATACCTGATGCATTGAATTCACAGTCTCTCTAATTATTATTACAAGAAATAGCAATTAACGACAATGTTTTTTCTTTATAACTGCATTTTGTAATAACATTTAAATTAATAATTTTATAGATTTATATGTAAATAAACACAAAAGAGGTGATTTCTTATATATAAACCTTACACCCAAAACAAATATTTGAAATATCAAGGCATAACATATACTTTAATTTTACAAGTTTTAGTATCAAGTACAATATTCACTAAATTAAGCACAGACACGAGCATAATTTAATTAACAAACGTGACGATCATGTTTTTTTTTACAATATATATAATGTTGATAAATTGAAAAATATTAAGTTATCTTATTATTCAAGGCAATAATTCATCATTTATCGAAATATTAACTAAACCGCTTTGTTAGGCATCTATCTAATTGGTGGCTTAAAGTGTCGGCGAAATATAAATGACTGGTTAACACAAACGTTGCCTGCGCCAAACCACATTTCGAGCTCGTTTATTAATCTCATTTAGACGCGATTGCCACCCCAATCATCCGTGATCGGTTTTTAGAGATTTGCAAATGGTTTCGCTCGTAGGTATAACCAGTTTTTTCAACGATTTCTGACATTAATATATGGATATCGTTTTTCAATATCAAATACTTAAGAATTTCAATTTTTTTCTTTGTGGCACATAAATTATTGTAGGCAGTGTTTACCTATAGTTAACATATCTTGCAATGATAATAAAAAAGATACTCGTATCGTCATATACAATTTATTATATATAAATGTATTTTCCAAGACAACTTTATAACTTTATGTACTCGTCTAGAAATTAAAAAAAAAAATTCTAGAATTATACACCGAAAACTGTGCATCAAAATGAAGCTCTTTTGAAAAATGTTAAAGCGCACTGCGTCATTCAAAGAGCGATGTCTTTTTCATACCTACATTTCACCTTGAGAATCTTGAGATACACTAAACAGAAGTGAAGTTTTCTGTCGCTTGTCAGAGTTTTTCAGATAGGTAGATATAACGTGGAAAAGGGAAGATTGGATCGAGGTGCTCGATTTTTCAACGTCTCAAAGTTATAACAACTATAATATGTAGTAGAATACTTTACTCGTTCGTTATAAATTCTTATATGTAATTGTAACATTACTTTTACACAAGGTGCCAGTGACTATAACAAGGGTAAAACTCGGTCACAAGAATTATTAATTTAATGAATGCCACCGCATCGCTCGATGGCTTTGTTACCAAGATGATGCAATAAATTATCAGAAAGTTCATAATTGATGACATACTTTCAATATAAAATCGTTCTAGTATATTTTAATTATATATTATTATAGAAAATAGGCTTTAATAATAGATTATTAAGGAATCTTTTATAAATATACAGATATGTTTCTATTTTTAAAACCCCCATATAGGATTACTAGCTGTGTCCCGTACTTTGAAATCGTTCAGCCGTTACAATCCGAATATCCAAAGATCTTCACAAACTGTCACGTTTTTACATTTAAAGCACGTTTTTCCTATTTTTCGTATTTAGTTACAATTCTTATTAAAATTACTTACTCTAGTATAAAAAAACTCTATCCCGCGGCATCGTCCAATTGAATCAGTACATCAATTTTCAATTTTTTCACCCCATAATTTAATTTCTATTTTGCCAAAGGTCGACTGGGAGAGAATGAATTAAGTCCTCCTTTTGTACCAGACATTTTGTTTGTAATGTGGTCAATAAAGAATAAATAAATAAATAAATAAAATACCCTATTTGCTAAGTTTGAATATACACATGTTCTTAGGTAGGTATACCAAACTTTAGTCAAATCTGTTAAATAGTTTTTGTGAGAAAAAATAACAAACATCCATCCACCCAACTATCTATTTATTTGTCCTTACAAACTTTCGCATTTATAATAATAATAGGATATATAACAGAAAAATCTATAGACTTAAAATTATAGTAAAAGATCCCGCTGCTGACTTCAGAGGTATAAGATTTTTAATGAAACTAAATGAGGGAAAATATAACGCAATACACCCAGGTTGTTTATTCTCAGTTAGCCGTAATCTGGGATTGCAACGCCAAGTTGGCGTTTTATTAAAAAGTCTTATACCTATTTTAAATACACTATCGGGACTCAAGGCGATAAAAAATTCTTATACCTTCAAATCAGTAGTATTTATTTATTATTTTGTTAATATTTATAAACTTTTCTTAATTAAAAAACAAAAATGTTAATTGGATATCTTAAATAAATTTGCATGTCATCAGATTGTTAGCTAAACACGAATGTTCTTTCACTAATATAACATCTTTGAATGTACTGTGTTTAAGCAAATAAAGATTATTATTATTATTATCATCATTATGTCGAAGTAGAGTATTCTGATGTGACTTATATGGCGTGAACTGTGACGTTATCGTTACCTTACTTTTCGGAACCTGCAACAAATAAAAAATGCCATAGATATCAGTTCTGTATTGTCCATAATATTCTTCACATCTGTAAGCAACAGAAATCACTTTCAATCATTTGGGCAATCAATTTGTTTGTAGTAATTTAATAAAAATATATCGGTAATTACACAAAAATATATTGTATACTAAATACAGTTCACAATTATGGTACTCCTTGATAGACGATAATTTCGTTCAAAGAACTGATAGAATACTACAGATGAATAACTATTCTCAGATATATACTTTTGAAATGTATTTTTTCTTTGCCAATCATAAACAATCTGTATACATCTAATATAACATGACAAACTCCGTAGTATAAGCACGTTGCTTTGTTTTTTTTATACTACTTAGAATGGCAAACAAGCTGACGGCCCACCTGATATAAAGTGATAACCATCGCCTATAGACATGAGCAGTACCATGGACATAACAGAGTATACTGTTTTGTGTAATGAGGTCCCGGTTTCGATTCTTCGACCAGCCAATTTATAAAAACAACTTTTCTGAATTGACTCCAATCTGAATATTCTAAGTGGTACCCCTTCATAACACAAGGAATCCTAGTTTAAGGACCAAGCAATCGGTGTGATAGTGTGACATATTATTAATTATTATCTAATTTAAAATTATCTCGCAAGAAGGTTTACCAAGTTTTTATGATCATGAAATCCCTTTATTAAAGGTCGCGCAATCGAACGTGTGTGCACCGGTGCGGACGGCGCTGGCATGGTGTCGGCGGCGCGCGCCCTCCTCGCCGCCGTCACCAGGGTCCTGCTGCTAGCGGACATGGTCGTCGTACGACAACTACTGCTTGCCAAAGACAAGGTAATTAGGAATAATAAGCTGTTCATAAAGATTGGTTTGGTCATTTACAATGAGTACAATTATGAAACGAATATTCTAACATGAATAATGAATATAAAAACATACTACTATGCGCGGAAACTATAAACGCCTTACACACTGTTTTAAACTAACATTATTGCAACTCACATTACCTGTGCTATAACAGATACTCATGTAAACTTTTAACCTTGTAAAAACTAAGGAGCCGCTTGAATCAAAGAGCTCTTGGGCTTTTACCTATCATAAATCATAGTAATCAATACACGAGGCCCCGTTGAGCCGAAACAACCAACCATCTGTATCAAACTGATGTAGTGGCGTTAAGGATTAATTGCTTTTGAAACTCCTTAATTATAAAGGAAATTCTTGGGTGCTTGGGACCTACTCAAGTTATTTGTTACATTATTCACTTACTAATGAAATAATTGGCAAGTTAAACAAAGTTTGTGTCTTCTATCCATCCATCATACATTCCGTGTTGTTCTAATTCACAAATTTTAAAACAAGCACCTATCCAATTTGTGGTTTATTGTATTTATTAAGAGTAACTAAATAAAACCAAACAACATTACAATAATATTTAACTAATTCCATTACAATAAATTATTAAAAAATACTATTAAATCAATTAGAGCATTATTGGACAGATTTTTTTGTGAATCAATTCCATAAATTACAAATAATATTAATAGTTTATACAATAGATATATATCAGATAACTGGCGGTCAACACGCTACACACTGCTACACAATACAAAAGTTTTTCATTCTATTAACATAGCTAATGACCAGTGAATTATATAGCAAGACTAAATTTTAAAACTAATCATTTGACTAAATGTTTCGACCAAGATATACCAGCTTAAATACATGAGAATTGAGACATAATCTTGTCACGTCGAGCAGGTGGCGCGGTCCTTGGACCGCCTGGAGTCCGTGTCAAACTTTGCGGAGTTCGTGAGAGCATTCACAGAGTTCGGCGGAGGGATGGTAGAGCTAGCGAGACTCACTGCCGAGCGCCGCGCTGACCTACGTGACGAACGACGAAGAGCCCAAGTTGCCGCGGCACGGAATGTTCTCGAAAGATCTACGCTTATGCTACTTACATCGTCTAAGGTATATAGTGTGATACTTTTCGTGTATTCGTATATTTTTAGAGATGATAACGAAATGGTAACTCCGCCTGTGTTATCAGTATAGGTTGGCGGGACGCCAGTGAGAGATGATAGGTGAAAATGAAAAGGCTACCTAACCTATTATACATATATACATCAATACACATAGTTTTTATCACGATAGTTTCCAGAGGGACCACGGAGAGGTCAACCTAAAAGGGTACATTGCTAGCAATAGAACTGATATAGGCCACATTACTAATAATTGCTTCCTCCCTCCTTTTGCATGTGTTAGATTCACATAATGACCGATAATTTCTGTTGTCCAAAAATTACCCATAATGATAGATAGTGATCAACTTAAAAGTATTATAAAGATATAAACTAGATAGAAGCTATATTTTAAAAGTAAAAGAAGACGCAGAATAATTTATAGTAACTTAGGTTTAATAGGATACCCTGTACAACTGTAGTAATAATCTATTACTTGAATCAATTAAAAAAAGAACTCGTTTGAATAAATTGGAGCAATTAAGTTGACCTTGTTTAGGTGAAATTATCGCCTAGGACTAAGCAATTTGCAGTGGTATTATATATAATGCCTCCTTGACCTACTCAAGGTATTGTATTAACACCAATGGATCGCAATAAATTTCCAATCCCATGTCCGGCGAGGCCGGTGGTATTCCGCGTAAATTAGACCTGTCGCTCGGTCGCAGTACCGCCTATCAATTATGCACCACACCAATTCAGGACCGCGCTCCATTGTTTGTGACAACAAGGTTTATGAACCATTCCTCATTAAAGTGTACAGTTGAATCTGTATCAGACAATACTAATCTACATCATCGATCCGAATTATTAAGATAATTTTATTTTATTATACTAAATTTCCTATTATATACTTGAACCTAAATGGTCATGTACAGTGTGATTTCAAAGGAGTTTTCTCCCGCAAACTCTCAGGCTGTAGAATGAGTTCCCTGCCGAGGTTTTACCTAGAGATAGGCTGTATGCTTGTTTGCCACCTTCTTTGTATAAAAAATAGATAGATTTTTATAATTTTCCATTTGCCTCATGGTTAACTGGTGAAGAACGCTATAAAGTGTTAAGTTCATCATATGTACACTCACTTAGATAATTGTGCAGTGAAGTTGAAATAAATAAATTATATACAAGCCTTGTCTTGTATATTATATTTCTTTTCTATTAAGTACAATAACGATAATGTATAAATAATTCAGCATGAATTCACTTCAATGTCATGACCTGGGAGTTTACTACCCCGACTTATTGAACCCAAAGGTCATGAGTTCGAATCTGATCGACACGAAAAGTTAATGTGTCAATTTTAACTCGCCGTGATGGAAACTCCGTTAGCATACTAAATTTATTGGAAAGTCACGGGTAGACACTTATCATTGTGATAGCCATATTAGAATATTGGATTCAAATATGCTCAATTTCAGAATTTTGAAGAAAAATGACAACAGTTAACAAATGCCTCTATGCATATCTATTTATTTTTTATATTTATATCATAAACTTTTATATACAGTGAGGTAGATGCTTGCATTGTCTATTTTTGTGACATTAATATATTACCTATTTTAGGTACGTGACTGGATGTTTGTTACTCACTTATCTACCTATTAGACTAAACGCAAAACCTGTGCCACTAGTAGAAAGATATGATGTATCTTTTATTTAATTTGAGAAAATATTACCTCATTAAATTCTTGTCATGAAAAATATTTAATTCAAAGAAGATTACTACTTGCATAAAGAGCAAGAGGGTTAAATATTATGTGTTATAACACGATTCGTTTCGTGTAAACCGATTGTTGGAATTGTACTAGTCGTTAATTAACGCCAAGCTTAATAGGCATCTTGCCTATTATACTTGTCTGAGTATACAAAATGAATCATAATACGATTTGTGTAAATTCGCCTGTTGACATCGACATACTTGAACGGACTAGCGAGAATAATTTTAAAATAGGAATAGTTTAGTAGTTACTAGTACTTTTGTGTAGTTTACAAATGGTAGTACGGCCTTGGGAGACTGAACAATCATGTCATCTGCGGTATGGCAAAGCCGCAATTTGTCAGCGCTTCCGAGCGGTTGCGGCTGGAAGTACGCCTCTATTCCAACCCTCTTTTATACTGCATACGTTACAGAACTTATCATTTTTCTTTATTTGCGTCTATTAAATAATGAAATTCCCAATACTTTTTCATAGATATTATTTAGTCATTTAAACTGAAGAAATACTTTTATATAATCGAAATTGTTTATTATTTCCACCAATCTAACTCGACCCGATTGGTATTTATATCTTTTGTACCTATTGTAAAACCTAGTAATATTATATTATCTGTGGTAAAACTAAACTGAAATGTCACTAAGATATTAAGTTTATGTAATTGATAGTTATATTGGTGTTGGTCAAGTTTGAAAAGGATGTTTGATAAATACACATGCATAATACCTTAATCCTCATGTAAGGTAACATATGAGGAATATCATGGGCGACGCAGTATACATTGTTGACAATGGTACTACTACTCAAGTTTATAGGTGATGGTGACCACTTTCCATCAAGTAATCCATTAGTTTCTTTGCCATTTTAAGTTGCATAAAAAAATGCTTAATTTCAAGCTATTATTTAGAACTTCTAAATATAGCATTAAATGGTATATACAGAGTAAAATCGAAATCGTTAGCATCCTTCTAAGGAAATATTCTAATCTAATAACCAGTAAAATAGAACATTTTCAACAAAGAAACAGACGTCGAAAACCTTAAAAAAAATTAGTAAGAAGGCTTAATTTTTTTACCAATTTCGAATTTTCGATTCAGGAGATTTATGTTATTTTATGCGACTGAGAATGCCAAACAATCTGTCAGCCTACCTTATGGTAATTAATAATCGTCGCCTATAGACATGAACAATAGGTACCATGGACATAACAGAGTAGTGTATAGTGTCACCCATGATACCCATCATACATTGATATTCTTGAAAGCTACAGTGTTATGCCTATATATAGATATTCTGTAGATGTGTAGACTTTTAATTTTAAGTAGATTTAACTACTTAAATTTCATACTGTATTTTAAAATATGATTTTCATTATTATATTTACTTTTAGAGCAAATGTAATTTTCAATATGTCACCATACTTCATCTAATATACATTTGAGCAAAGATTTTGAGACGTCCAGTAGGGCGTCTGAAAAGTATGCAGCCCTTACTTTACCAGAAATTATTCTTTGCATATCGTGTTGGACACAGACGTGTATGCGACACCCAGGCAGCGCATCGGCGAGAGAAAATCGGGATACTGTGTTTTGTCAAATGCGACGAGCTATGGACCTGATACACTACGTGGTGCGCGATGGACTGCCCGGCCACGAGGAACACTCCCACGAGGTTTGAGGCGTTCACACGTACATATACTAAACACATACACAGTTCGTAGAAATACTAATAAATTTAGGTAAAAATCAATTTTAAGAAAATTTCATTTATTTGGAGCATTGCAGTAAGCGGAAATAAAAAAAAAAATGCATTCGAAATCCCAAAGAAATCAATATCATTTGACAGCAATACTGTTTAGTATTGCTGTCAAATACTTTCTAATACTTTCAATACTTTATAAATTTTCGGCACCATTTTTATTATTGCCGCTTGATATATATATATATATGTATAATATATATATATATATATATATATATATATATATATATATATATATGCCCGGCCCGGTACGTGCTTCGCTACGTATAAAGTGAAATAATAAAAAAAAATTGACACCAAATTCATTTATTCAAACAAAAAAAATATTTTATCAATTGCTAGCTATTTTAAAACTTAATCCAAAACATTTGGATAAACAATATTTTTTGTTTTTCCATTTTGAGCATGAATAAACAAACGGCTAGGGGTACCGACTCTAGAACAGACAACATAAAGTTGGCCATGTGAAAAACATGATTCCTCCAAATTCACACCACAAACGTTAAGTGTTTGCCCTTGGGCCTTGTTAATGGACATCGCAAATGATAAACGCACAGGATATTGTAATCGTTTGAATTCAAATGGCATATCAGTTAGAATCATAGGGATACGCGGTATCAAACAAACTTCATCTTTTGATTTATCAGTTAAGATCGTAGCTTCAATCAAATTTGGCAATAACTTTTTCACTGCCAATCTGGTGCCATTACACAGTTTTGGTGGATTAATATTTCGCAATAATAAAATCAAAGAACCGCACACATATACATAGTATACATTTGAACATTGCAAGACTCACCATTTGTATGAATGCACTCAACAATATGTTTCAAAATATCAACACAAATCAATAATTATCGCTGACAATTTGCTTTAATCGAAGCACGTCCAAAATAAAATGACCGCATGAATAACATGCTTGTACTGTCAACACTGAAAAAAAATTCAATTTGACAGCACAATCCCCACCTTAAAAAAAAGTTTGAATTTGACACAACAATCCCCATTAACAAAATGATTCGCCATTTATTGAATTCATTTGTTACAAAAAATGTTATAAAAGAAAAATCGACCGATTTTGTCCAAACTTCAGCCTAAACATTTGGTTTAGATAGGTGAACCCGTTCTTGCGTTATAAAATTACAACGAAAAGTATTATTAATTTTTATATACGTAGATAAATTCTAAGTTCAGAAAAAAATTAAAATTTCAATTAAAAGTATATAAAAATAAACTGCAATATCTTCTATAAGCATACTTCCATTTACACAAAAATATATTTATAAAGTACGTTAAGTATATACACAGCACATATAAAAGTTACTACAGATATAAAGAACTATGATATTATAAGAATAAATATCCAGATAATATGTAGATCAGATTGAGCTTCATTGTCTACCTCAAGGAAAAATTGGTTATGTAAAGACATTAGGTACCCACTTATTTATTTAATTTAATCGAATTAATCCACTCGTATATCAACTCTGTACTAATGGATAGTACTTAGATAACTAAAATAGCTTTATATTCATATATACGTATATTCCATATATTTAGTAAGTAATATTGACAAACAGAAAATCATAATAACTGTTTAAAACAATTGGCTTACATGTGATTCGTACCAACATTTAAATATTTATAATAATAATTTATTAATATCCAAAATAATAAAAACAGAAGTCGATAATATAAGTAACTTTAATATATATCTACGCATCATACTCATTCGCAATTTATAATAACTGCATTGGCTTTCTAGCAAACGACGTCATAAATAAAATATTGGTTTCTAGACAGCTCGTAAGTCAATTTCATATTGAATTAGTAACTACATGGTTAGAACAAGTAGGTACTTTATTAATTATAATTTTAAAATTAAATTTATTTATTAGTATAACTTTGATATTTTTGGATTTTTACACAAATTAAAATAAAAACATCATTGAAATTGCTAACAAGCCAAGCAATTTATCAATATTCGTCGAGATAAAAACAAATAAGTAATTAGTAAACACTTCGCTCACTCAAGTCTACTTAACTTAATTGCAATTTATTATGTTAATGGTACTTACTCGAAACTCAAATTCATCTACTTTCTCATCAAAATCTTTCTTTTACGTAACGAGCAAATAAATAATCGAAGCTAAGATCCTTACCCTGTTATTTATTATTATAATGTTCACAATTCGATAAAATACTATGAACAGCAATTTTACTATACATATATATCTAATATTAAAAAAAGGAAAAAGTATATAAAATTTTTAATAGAAAAATAATATATGATATTTACATGAAAATCCATTGAAAACTTAATTTGACTGATGAATTTTTAATGTTGAAACTACCTCCATACCCAAGACTCCACGATTCCATTATTTAAAAGTTTGTTCTTATACTCTAAGTATTTTATTTGTTTTTCTCACCTTGTCTACCCCATAAAATGCAAAATAGTTGTTCTGGTAAACAATGCGATTATTATCATACTATCACTAAAACATGACTTGCTGGTATATAGGTAAAATAAACAAGGACCTGTTGATAAATTGGGTTTCATTATTACATTATGGCCTACCTTATACTTTAAAGAAAAATTTAAAGGAAGCTGGTACGTGTATATTTTTGATCATTTTATATAGATCATTTTAGGTGGAAGATTAAATGTTAGAACTGAAATTAAGAGATTAGTTTCATTATCTATGAAGAATCAGTAATGTAAATGTTATGGAAGGATAAATTAATATGGTTAGGTACTAATATTAACAAACTATGTATTATGTACCAATAATTTGTAATATAATAAAATTATTATGCTCTGAATGCAAAATATACACGCAGAGTAAGTAGAGTCAAAAGAACCTAGGTAGCGCAGACTAATTTCCGACTATTGTTAAACATTCCCCCTAATTTACAAACGAAAACATTGATTTATTCTACGTAAATAGGTAATAACAAACTTTACCTATTACTGATTCACTGTAACTTAATATTTAAAACATATAGTCACATAATGAATTTAAAGTATATTTTGCACGTCTAGGTATTTGGCACTGAAATCTCTAAGCACATTGTGTTGATTAAAGGTAAATTACACACTAATTATAACTACTCGTATTACTGTTCTTTAGTAGTCGTTTAGCTTGTAAGTGCATGCATATTGCGCATGAGGATTCTGAAACAATATTTATAACATTATATCCTCCAATAAAAAAATTCCAACGAACAGTGTAAAAGCATAAAGTATCCACTATTCTTATGGTAAAACTTACCTAGATAGAGCATAAACACTAGAGAGGCTTCGGCAACTCAAACTGAAATTGTTATATTGAACGTAATGTAAGGTAGACAAAAGGGATTATGTTAAAAATCAATAAAAGCAGCAGTAATTGGATTAACCAGTAAGTAATCAATGATTGTCATTAATCAAATATATCTACTAATCATATTGAATCTTACTATGAAATCGTAGGTAAATCTTTATTTAAAAAAGTCTTATAACTAAACAGATTATGAAAGATTAATGTTTAAGGCATTGGACTGGGAGCAAGATTATGATATTAATTTCTTTAATCACGTTCTTTCTAAGACTTTGTTAGAGTTTAAGAAATATTATCACTTTTGCCATTTGTGAAACTACTCTGCAATGCAGTGAACAGTCGTCGACTGGAGATAGGAATCGCCCAGTATCTCGATGGGCAAACTTCCATAGGTAGATAAGAGGTACTTACTGTTTTCGAGTCCTCAATCTAATAATGATATGTATTTTAAACCAAAGCATACTAGTTAGGTATAGTAATTCTATAACTTTGTATTCTTCCTATTACCTCTATGAATGAATGAAATATACTATGTATTTTCTTTTCCAAATTTATGTAGATAAACACAACTTACTTTCTTTTCTTGTAGTTGCAACCTTACTCGGATAGTCATGAACAGGTACAAAGTTATGATGGTAGCAGTGAATTACAATTTTATGTGTAAAGCTATAACCTACTGTATCTACTAGACATCACATAATTATTGTGCTTTAACTTTTAATATTAGAAGTATTCTATTCTGTGCTTCCTCATACTTATTTTTAATAGTAGGTAGATATTTTTTTCGTTTCTGTAATTTAAATAATACACTATTTACGTCGCAACACACTAATAATTACAACTAATTTAATTTTTTATATTAACTTTGAGATAAAATTATTCAAACAACTACATTTACATGACCTCCATAATAAATACCTAAGTATCAACTATAAATTATGAATATTATTACATCTCGTTGGTTGTAACTGATAGTATGTGGCGATCAGTTTCTAATATGAGGAGGTAAATTCTGTTTATTCACAGCACATTTTATATAATTTAGTTTAGATCCAATTTAATAAGCTGAAATGGAAAAATTAAATAGGTAGGTATATTTTTAAATTTTTCACACAAATGCAACGAAATCACGCTAATTTGCTTAGGATTGTAGTTAATTACGCTTCGAATAGAACAAAATAACGAGCAATATTCGCATTCGCATTTTATTTCTGTACAAATTCAAAAAGTTTAGTAAGAATAGAGACATGGCCCCATGTAATGGTAAGTAAATAATATAAGCTAAGCAAAAAATCATAAAGACCTAGGTTTAATATTAGATTCGGCTTTTAGGTAGTTCACGCTCATTTTGAAAATTCCTTTATTACTGTTGTTCAGCACTTATATGTTTATTAGTAAAAATGTCCTTCAGGATATTAACTATAACAATTTATTTATTATTTCTTAACTCAGTTGTAATCACAAACACTTTTTTGATATATTTATATTGTTAATGGTTATAACCAGGCTGCACAATGGGAAGCGGGAACGGCGCTAGGTGCGCTTCGTGGGTTAACGGCGCAAGTACGGGCAGCGAGAGCCCGCGGAGGTGCCGACGTAGCTCGAAGACGAGCCCTCGCCGGCACGTTGCGAGCCCTTGTGGAGAGGACACATGACTTCACAGATTCCGCATACACGTCTCACGAGCATAGACAGAGGATACTCGCGCTCGCCGAACGAATAGCGTACGAATTGGAAAGGCTGGTTGCCGTGGCTGTGTCTGTAGTAAGAATCTAACAGAATAAAACTTATTAGGATGTAATTATAATATCAAGGCAATATAATATAACCATACACAAGATGAAGTGGCAATCTCAAACATTTTGTACAGAATCAACAGATGCAGCCGGCACAGGACTACATAACTTTGTGACAAGATATTAGGTGATCAGTCTTCAGTTATGGGTGATGAGTATGCTGAAGTGATGATGCGTAATTGACTTATTCAGATATACTTTCTATGATTACCTATAGTTTAGTCTACATATGTATCTTGAGAGATAAGACAGGTTGTCATTCATTTCCATATGTTATTCTAAATACAATGTTTATAATTTCAAATAAATTTTAAATATAATACAAGAAAAATAACTATTTCATTAACATTAGGAAGAGCAAGGGTCGAGTGGCGCTGGTGCCGCGTTGGAGAGCGCTTGTGCGGGCGCTACCAGTGCAGCGTCAGAGTTAGAGCGCGCACTGGTAGCGGCAGCGCGTGACCAAGCGCGTGATCTCGCGCCTCTAGCCGATGAAGCGCGAAGACTCGCGTCCGACCTCGCGCACATAGGTAACCTACGACGGAAAATAGGTACAGTGGTGCTTTTATAAGGGGCGTACTCTTCTGTGTCATGGTCGGATTAAACAGTTCCTATCCACGTCACACAAGTATTCGCTCCGTATGAACCACCATACCTAGTATGAATTATTGATAACAGAAGATATTAAACTGAATATTCTGATTTAAATTGCAGCTAGTTCCTGTGGTGAGAGAGAATCAGAGAGACTGCATAATATTGCCAGCCGGCTTCACGAACAATTAGATCACATAATAGAGGTCTGTTTCTAGGAGTGATAAGTTTATTTAATATTACTATCGCTTAACTCAATCTTTGTTTTTCTTCCATTAGGTATGTAAATTACTCAGGCATATAGCAATGTCTGAGACACTCCAGGTTAGTGCAAAGTTTGCAGAGATTAACCTGAGGATATACGGTCCGCAAGTGGTGACAGCAGCGAGAACATTAGCAGCGCATCCAGGAAGTGCGGCTGCACGAGAAAATCTCGACGTGTTCGTGGATATGTGGGCCTGGCTGCTGGCGGATGCAGCACGCCTCGCTAGAGAATTGCTTGACCTCACTGATGACAGACCGGACAAGCAGCAGTACAGCAGTTTACCCAGACCGGGAGTGAGTTTTATTACCTACAAAAGTTTCATAGATTAAAAACATTATTTGTTACCGAATAAGGCAGAATAAGGTAAATAAGAATAAGATAAGAACAAACGTTTCAAACAGGGTTGGAAACGTAATAACTATGGGTCGCGACTTCCAAGAAGCATCACCACCTCAATAATGATATTCCTCAGTTTATTTCTGTTAAAACAATATATACTTTAACATAAAGGCTGTTACGAATTTAGTCCAGTGTGTCTTCGTTCTATCGTTCAAAAGATAAGCTAATAAATTTATATTATTAACTATTTAAAAAAGACATTGAATGTATTCTGAATTTTGCTTCTCTCATGCATTTGTTATTATCATCATCGTCATCATTATCATATTAGCCTTTAACTATCCACTGCTGAACATAAGCCTCCATTTTGGAGGGTTTTGCCAATAGTTTCCACTCTTGGTAAGCAGATTGGCAACCGCAGTTAGGCGGGGGGAAAGGGATTGTTAGTAATGGAGACTAAGAATCCCATTGCTAGCAATATACCCAACCAGGTCGACCTCCACGCGGTTCCCCCTGGAAACTATCATGATTCATTCCTGATGGATTCATCATGATGGGCTAACTGGCCTGTTTTCATTCTCATCGATCACCCTTCACTGATGTCCCGCCAGTGTATCTCGCTAGCGCAGGCGGGGTTACCATTCCATTTTCACACATAAAAAAAAACCGCAGTTAGGCTTCAGAGATCTTTTAAGAAGGAAGCTGCTGTCCATCCCTCGCCCTCCCTTAGTCGATTCTTACGACACTCACGGGATAGGAAAGAGTGATTTGTTCTATATCGGGACCACACGGTCAACGACATTTACTATAAAATGATTTTTAAAATATTTAAGAATAATCGAGATCACTTATGTATCATATTATATTCTAAACACAGTAATTACTGCGTTGAAAGATGAACAACAGAAATATATAAAATCTATCTATATGTAATAAAAAGAACACGTAGAGAAAATTTTTGAAAATAATATGTAGCCTACGTTACTTACTGATAATATAGATTTAAGTACGTGAAAGAATTTTTAAAATCAGATGAATAGTTTTTGAGTTTATCTATTACAAACTAACAAACCTTTCCTCTTTATAATATTAATATAGACAAACAACATAATTTTAAAACATAAAACTATATAAAGTATATTACATATGATTAGATAATGTTATAATTATTATTTAAATAATATATTTAATTACTTGCAGAAACATGGTACGACGAGTAAACCCTTAAAAGCAGTACGACTAGACTCCGATGAGCAAGCAAAGATTGCTAAATCAGGTTTAGAAATGAAAATGATGTCCTCTGAGATGGATGCCGAGACTGAAAAATGGCAGGGTGCAGCTGCTGATGAAAACAACGATATTGTGAAGAGGTACTGTATTAAAAAAAATACTACGAGTGAATAAATAATCAAATTATAATTTTATATGTCATATTCTCTTGCAGAGCAAAAAATATGTCTTCCATGGCTTTCGCTATGTATCAATTTACTAAAGGTGAAGGCCGTCTTAATACTACACAAGACCTTTTCACACAAGCTGAATATTTTGCTGAAGAAGCAAATAGACTTTATAAAATTGTACGACAATTTTCATATCAGGTAAAAATTTTAGTAATAGATTTAAATATCCATAAAGTTATAAAAATATCGATTTTTAGAATGAAAGATTTACAAATAATGTGTATTTCCAAAGGTACCAGCTGGAACGACGAAGAAAGAGCTGCTAGAGCATCTAGACAAAGTGCCGACATATGTGCAACAACTGCAATTCACAGTAAAAGAGCCGACCGTGGGTCGCGCTGCCACTTTTAGTAAGGTCGATAATGTTATACAAGAAACCAAGCACCTTATGAACGTGATTAGTAAAGTTGTAACCACTTGTTTCGACTGTGCGAATAAGGTAAATTTCAGATTTTAAACGACAATTGAATACAAATTTTTATTATATTTACGACATTTTTGAGCAACACGTCGCACATTTTAAAAGTTTAGTAAATTTTATTAGGAAATATAAAGATGTTAGTGCATTGGAACGTAATGTTCCTTAGGTACCTTTGCCGTGGGAAGCCAGTGTGGGAGTGGTTAAAAGGCACCAGAGTGTTGCACCTGTTAAGTACATTACAGATTTTATTTAATTCGTGTCTGTTAGACTTTCGGGAAACAGGTGAACCAGTGTGATCACAGTTTCAAGATTTATTCTTGGTTTAAAATACATATCTGATCATAAAACCGTACTTACAAATATCCAGTTTCATGAACGACCATAAAAAACAAGAGTAAATCTTTTTAGTTTTCTAGATACTAGTTTCAAATAGTGTTAGACAAATTGAATTACCAAAACTCCTATCTTTTATTTACAGTATGTTTTATTTGTACATTATTTTCTTTTTGTTTGGCCATGCATCGATGGTTCTTCCACTTCAGGGTCTTATACCGCTGGAGAAAGCGATAAACAAATCCTCAGCGAATACAAGGGACGACTCGGTCTGTCTCTGTCTTCCATTATCATAAACAATATCCATGTATATCTGTGTGTACCTATGTATGTAGTGTACCTAAGCATGTTACATGTAATCATGCTCATTACAAAAGTTACTCCTTAAAATAAGATTTCTCCTTTGTTTTCGCTAAATTAATACCGAAAATTATGAAGATTATTTCATAAGATGCTAGAATCAGTAAATACTGCTACAGGTTTTACCTATTAGCATTAAAAATATATGATATTTCATTATTCGCTCTCCCCCAACTTCTCCTCTTATCACTTAGACGTGACTGTTAATACCGACTAGACATTTTATTCATATTTTTTTTATGTTTTTTTTTTTTTTATTATTATTTCCCTTTTACGTTTATTTTTAATTTCCTAATTTCAGTATTCCCTGTGTATGCCCGAGAGAGTCCCTATGCATTGGAAGCCAAATTTGCGAAAAGCATCCACATTTAAGAGTGAAAATAGTGTATTGAATGGTTGAAGTAGGTATTTTGTGGATTCAGAATTGTGGTTTTATCTAACGACTTCAGTTTGTACACATTGTAATTATAAAAGACTGAAATGTATACTAATATTGTAACTTATTGAAATTTAGTGTAGAAATTGTTTGATGGTGTATCCTATAGCTAATATTGAATGTTGTTGATGTGTTGTTGCAATGGAAATTTTTATATAGTTTAGTATCTGTGTGGTATCTTAATATCATGCTTAAAGTTTATAAATGTAATTATAAACTTTAAGGTAATTGATTATCTCCTATCTAATAATGAGCTAGAACAATCATAATATAACTGTTATAATTTAATAAAAGACACGATCTAAGCATTGATTGTGCTAAACAGCCGCTTCGTAAACAGAATTGATTCACGTGCATGGTGTTTCGCGTTGTCTCACTGGGTATTTTTTATTCGACTCGCATATAATTTATTCTCGGATTCGGTAACAGCATGGTGTCTTGTTCGCTATAACCAAGTAGGAAATTATTGATAACATTCCGCAAAAAGCCGTGCATTCCCGAATCCGAGCATAGAAGAGTGAGTGAGGATCTACGGCAATAGTGCATATATGCAATATTAACATGTATGATGTGCTCTGATGCAGTACAAGCTGGACTTCACGGGCCTGTCGGCGGGCGTAGGCGGGGGCGTCGGCGGCGCCGGTGGGGGGCGAGGCGCGGCACGCGACGAGGACGGCGGCGGCGGCGTCGGCGGCGATGCCAAGCCGGGTGGCAGCTCTTCCGACACGGCCATGTGACAGTACGGCATGGGCCGGCGCGGCAAAGGCGACGCGCGCCGGACCAGGGTCAGCTTCCTCTTGTTTTAAAGGATTAAACGTCCCTTGAAACGACTCGTCGCCGAGCAGCGGTAGGCCGAGCCGGCCCGTCTGGTGCGTAACTCCCTTCAGATTTCTATAACAGTAGGTTGTACGTACGTGGTGCAGGCGGCCGTAAAGTTTTATTGATGGCGAGCCAGAATGGAAATAAAATTGATTGTTATAAGACTCGCGGTAAGAAATTTTGTAACAGTGAGTGTTTACAAAATAAATAACTATTTTTTAAATGAAAGATTTTCATGCTAGTTTAGAAAAAAAGTAACAACGAAATGCCTGTGTGAGTTACGCATCTGGCGAGATGCTCGTCCCGGGAATCACACACGTCGTCTCTTTTGCCACGGCCTGCGATGGAAAGAGACGGTGCAGCTTGTGATCCTCGAACCCGGCTGTGATAGCTGTGCATCCATTTAATAGATTGTAAAAAAAAATTATAACTATTCGATGGATCACAATAAAATAGTTTAATATTAAGATGAATGGTACGATATATAAATGAAGTTCCGACTTCTGGTAGAACACTTGCGACACACAAAAGCGCCAGCAGTATAATGAAATTCTCTGAACTCTCAGTGTTGTAACTCTTCTAATAAAGGCAAGTGCGCAAACACGAATAGTTAGATTTAAACAATCTACTAGTATTCTAACATAAATAATATGTAATTAAATGAATTGTTACTATTTACGCCTTTGATGTAACACCACGTGTCATCCGTGCCACAAATTCACCCAATCTCCTGTACATACCATTAGAGTAGAGCATACAGGCTAATGTTACAATTATAAATCTTGCCTCAATTATTATAAAAAAAATTATGTGATCAATAATTAAGAAGAGTGAATACGTACAATAAAATACTTGTTACACTATCATAATATTACACATTGTTACATAATATATACGTAAACAATTACACAGAGAAGCCTATTTTTTTAAGTTTCCCCTCTTAAACCTATTATGTAAGTAACCCCATACTTATTATATATTATAATCTGTATATTATCTACCCTGATGTATAATTTATCTTGTAAGCTACTTGCTCTTTATAAATGCACCCTACTGCACAATCCGTGGTCCTGTTTGCACATTATTTTACGTTATGCACGATTTGGCTTCCTCTATTATTTTGGCATCGGTAGCTACCTTTTATTTACAGAACATGCTAAGTTACCACATTCTATTTCATGAAAACACAAGGTTACTCTTGCATTTAATGTTATCGCATTACTAGTCGTTTCTCTTTCAACGAGTTCGTGTAAATATTAATAGAATACGGTTATATGGTATTTGTTGGTGCGTCAACACGGCCGTTACAATTTGCATGATTGTGCAACGGATCAAATAGATGTGTGTTGCATGTGTGTACGTGGTTATCGTAATCAATGTCGTACTTCATCTTTTCGACAGGAGGATGTTTAATATTAAGATGAGGGAAATTTGACTCTGGTGGCTATAAAGAGAGCCCCCACGTCGCCCGGAAAATTGATAGTGTCATATAGACTCGCTAATAACAAATGAGATGCGAACGCAGACGACCGGCTAACAATATTTTCAACTAATGCATGCTTTGCATAGGGCCGTATCTATCGTATACTGGGTCGAATTAATCATAATTAAAACATTTTGTAACATAAGCAAATGTTACATGCTTCTGACATAGAGATACCTACCTACTAAGTTTTGGGAGAACACTCGGAAAGTTCGCTACTCCCAGAGTATGTAGAATTTGTTCGGCCCGCCCTAGTTACGGTCCTGTTCGTGACTCGCTGGCTGCTGCCCTTGTAAGCTAATCATATCGCGCGGCATGCCGCCCATCAAACATATCTGCAATATCGCTAACATTAAATATTCCACTATGGCAATAATGAACATATCAAATAGGTAGAAATAGAAGTCGTTACTACTACATACAGAAACGACAAAGTCGTATAATTTTTAACATAATCATTATTATTGTTACTTAGAATCAAGAATGAATTACTGTTCTTACAAGTAATCAATGTTTCCTCTCATGGGTGCTATAAAGACTTCTGAACGGCCGATCAAAAGTCAACGTATGTAGTAGGTAGATGCATTTGAACTGTTATTCAAATAATTTTGTTGATACTGCACGTGTGCTAAATCGGCCTATGTTCGAGTTGTAGATAATATCGGCTCTCTTAGTAAGTCGCTGTGCTATTACTGCGATCAGAATTGTTTTATCATTAGCTGTCAATTAATTACTAAGTAGTATTACTTATGACGCTTTCATATCACTGCTAATATCAAGCGTCGATCGAGCACGTCGGTCGGCGGTCGGTCGTCTGCGCTCCTCACCCCCAATCGTCTATATAACACTGTTATTTTCCATAGGTACTTAGCTTTTACTCTTCTACTCTAATTCTATGAACAATGTTGGCTTTCGTTTTATAGTTTTAAGAATGTTAAATCTTATTACATATAATGACTTACTCTTATTTATTGCCTTCATAATTGTACTATATTTAGAGTATCTACTATGTCGATAAGTCGGTTTCAATTCTATTATGAGGATAGATATTAGGCTAAATATTTAATTATTTTAACTAATGTAAAGAGCTTCATAAAGCTTTACAATGAAGAGTTGTGAATCGAACTTGTGGCCACGTAACATTAGTTTCAAATATTAGCGTAATCCCGCTTTGACTGTTAAATACCAATTAAGTTTAATAAGATACTCGTATTTATAACAGAAAATTTGATTACAAAATTGTAATCGTCTACGAGTACAGAATAATCATAAATAAATACATACTAATTTGTAATCAATAAATTAATTAAATATTCTACATAACTATTTTTAAAACTGTCTCATAAAGCATTATAGATAAAAAAAATAGTATTTCTTGTCTACCGCACCGTTTTCTACAGACTGCATGGTTCTGTATAATAATAATTGTACTATCAATCTAGTTAGAATGAGCAAACAATTTACTCAATAGTTTCTAACATCTGACTTCCCGGTCCTATTGCAACCGAATACAATTTCGTCTTATAGCATGTTGGCAAGCTTTAGATATTCCAATTTCATTAATTTGGTTTCTGTAACCAGTAAACTAAATTGCACAATTTAAGCAAGAAATGCACATCACAGCAATAATAACTTATATTCTTAGAAAGATTTTTAATTTTCGAAATTAAATGTGATTATTCTCTGACAAATAGATGTGCACAAATGACTTCCTCATAAACTCCATAAGATGGACGTAACTCTGATATGTTCGTTATCTCAATATTGTCTGTTTTACTACTTCCAACGATATTGCCGTATGATTTTATTGACTTTCGAAAAAAAAGGATTGTGCCAAAACAATTCACGTTATAGACGTAAAAAGTTCATTAAGGTAATTTAATTGTAAGTAGGTTAAAATTAATCGTGATTTAAAATCGATGATTTGTTCAGTAATAAAAAAATGTCACCTCAAAATATAATTAGTGTAAGCTGCATCTACTGCATAATACTCATAATAGTCGAGAAACACGAAAAAAGTACGATACCTATTTATTATACTAATTCCTAATTTCCAACAAAATAAGTGTCGCAAATCATGTTGTTTACGACACGTGTTTTGGGGGTAAAGGTTGTCGTGACATATACAAGCAAAAATCATGTTTTATGCATGTATCACAACATCTATACAACATGATGTATGTTTGTATTAAAATACGTACACGTACTTCATTTATACAATAGCTGTGCCGTTGTGCCTCCTCGTGTAATGTAATTGGATTCTATTGCGTATTAAGACACCCTCCTTACTAAGAATTAGAACGTCCCGCGGTCTTCTGTAAAATTGTATGATATTTTATTTTTATTAATTTACATAAGACGTTAATTTATATTAAAATCTAGTCAATAGTAATGTTCGAAAAGTGCAATATAAGCAATAAATTACAAGATTCGCATAGAGCAGAGACATTTTTTCGTGGACTACAAATGTTGTATTTACAAGAGACTTAACACAATCTCGTGTACATTGTAGCATGCAATTCTATTGTTCTATTTTGATAGATAAAAAATTACTATGGATTATCCTTCGCCTGCTAAGGCTTTAAATATATTTTTACTGAAAATTTTATTTTTATTACGTTTTGCACAACAATTTCAGTCCTTCTAATTGGTTATTTGAAGTAGTCATATTATTATTCGAATGGGAGGTAATAATGTAAAACCACAAAATATTTCAAGAGAATGACGTTGTGATTCTTAGCAAGGACGGCCTCTTATTCAGTCACTAGACAGTCAGGTAAGCATTGCAGCCTAAGCGATCATTCATCCTAGTGATGGAGTCTCGAACACATAGGACTTCCATCGCGTTAATCATAATTTATTGGTTAGTGTATAGTGATTAGCGATACAGTGATTTGTGATATTACAAGATACTTATTGACATTTAGTACAACGTCCTTTATAATTTCAACGTTTTAATGGTAGTTTAAATTTAGAGGGACACTACAAGAACACCAATAATAGTAACCATTAATAATTATATTGTAGTTAGTTGTATTATAGAAGAAAATGCATAGAATTCTGAATTGGAACGACGGGACCGTTGCGTGGTGGATCCCGGAATATTAATAATAATTTCTTGGGAGAAAGATCTACAGCATTTAATACAATCATAGTTATGAAATTCATCAAACTAGATTTCATGAAGAACAAATATTATTTCCGTAAAAAAATTACTTAAAAACAACTAATACTTTATTTTCTAAAATATAGGATCCTTTTTGTATGTAAATATATATTTGAAATATTTTACAACACATCTCTACGTGTTTTTTTGAGTAACCCATAATTAAACCAATATAACTTATGGATGAATTTAATGGTGTGTGGCAAAATATTTAGTAGAAAAATGTCTAAATTTGTAGCCTATTCTTTATTAGATTATTTCAGAGCACGTAACACGCAAAATACCAGATCATATTGGACGTACAAATATAAGCAAGTGTGACAATTATAGATTTGACCAAGTTTCGTTTATGGTTGTCATGTTGTATATTATATATAGGGTATGCTATACACAAAAGACTAATAAATATATCATAAATTAATTGAAATATCAAAACATATTTAAATATCCCCACGTACCGGGTGAAATACGAATCCCGCGACAATGTAGATTGATGGAAAGTGTATTATTATGAACGTAGCCTAATTAATAAAACAGACATGCTATAATCAGAGGTGCAAAGTACCTACTTACATTGTAATAATTATATTTTTATTGTTCTCATATACATATAATAATGTATAGATGGATTGTAACCCTGAAGGAGTAAAACCCCGATAAATAGATATTGTAAATAAAATTAATTTTGATAGAGTATTCGATGGAAAGATCTTAGTTGATCATGTATTGTCTAATATTTTAAATCAATTTAATATTACTTTATGTGTATATAGAAGTAAAGATTGTCGAAAAACTGTTGTGATTGTTATATTTGAAGTTGCTTTTTCATTGAAATAAATAAGTAGAAATATATTTTCCATAGTGCTGCCAAAGATGTTAATATTAATGCCTAGATGTAGTCATGTTGTTTACATAACAGAATATTTTGAGGTTGTTCGTGGATTTATGGATTGTATTTTAATGTGGCCGACGAATGTATAACACTGTGTACGTGATCTAATACATCACCAAATATAAGAATTCATACAGAAATTACTGTCGACTTTTATTTCTTTCTACCTTACTTTCTTGACTCGGGACATTCATACAGAAAGTTTAAATAAAATAAAACAAATAGTTCCTATATATTACGTATTTATTTATATTTCATTCAAAGTACAATATATTACATCGTCTGCACTTTACTTCTCATCCAACTTACATCACATATCCGTCGGTAATGACTAAGCAAATGATCAGTATGGTAAAGCGGGCCGAGGCCCTACACAAAATACAAAATTAAGCATAATCTTACTACCTAATGTCTTACTTTATTGAGAGAGTCAATACTGTAATGTAGGAAATAATACAATTTGCCACGCCATGCTGATTAGATAAAGATTATGCATATTGCTCATAACTAGTCATTACTTGAGTAACTTGGCATATAATCGATTTTATATGATCGTATTAAACAAATTAATATATTTACAAAAAATACAATATTTGTTGTAGTACAACGGAAAATATGCATGTCACTGTAGAAACAAATTATAAAAGTAAAAAAATCAGTCAACACGAAACGAATTCTTTTCCATTTTATCCATTTTTATAGATGAGCCCTATTTGTTTCACTCCTTATATATTATTATAATGAAACACTAACACCTAGCTAGAGCTAGAGTCTATGTCACAACTGATCTATGAGCATAATTTAATATCACTAAGCACAATATACCCACTACCGATGTAGAAACCTACTCGAACAAAGCTCGCTTGTTGACGACGAGAGATTAACATTCGCGACACGATAGTAACTTTCGTTTTTTAGTATACAATCTTATAATAGTTACAGGCAAAGATGAGAGTCCAACGTTACCATCGTGTCAGCAGATTACGTTCCATAAGAATTCCTTGAAATATGTATGAACTTAAAAATAAAAATGGACTTAATGACCACCCTTGAAATATGTCCCTTCTTTCACTCAACAAATAATTGTTGACATTCAAAATTGAGCCTTGTAAGGTACAGTAAGAACAATTTTATTTCTTAATTCAATTTTTTCGAAAACCCCTATATATATAAGATTTCTCCTGCGAGCTTGTTCACTCTGTGACCCTTCTTATAAATATAGCAAACGCCGTGCGAGTTCACACTTTGTTCAAATACTCGAATGCACTCAATAAGCCAAAATTGTATTATTTGTAATGATATAGAATTAAAAAATATTTCTTATCTAATTTCACATTAAAATTTAGAATGGTGTAGATACCTAAAGTAATTTTGAATAACTACAGTACGTAATATCTTTACTTATAAATATAACAAAGACTCGACAGTGCCTCATTAACTGTGTTTTATATTCGGAAATGCTATATTTATTAGTAAAGCATTATCGGCTTATGCTTTAATTTCACAGATTTGAGCTGAGAAATCACGTCGCTATAATCGTCATTGCCTGTAAAATTCAATATACATATATATTTAAAATACAATAAAGTATTAGACGTCGATTTCTGATTAACGCAGATCGTTATTATTACAAGCTATTTGGCATCTCTGTGGACGTAAAAGTCTAATTGTAAGCTGTAAACATGTTTGTGCACTATTTTCTTAATGAAAATAGTAAAAGTCCTCGAAATAAAACACGTACAAATTATTGTTTACAAATGCGTTTGGAAACATAATTGGAAAAATTAGGCCTCGCTTACGGTAAATAAAAAAAAAACACTGAATACTCTAAACTATAAATAAATACAATAAAAAGTTACATTATCTAGAATCGTGTATAATTGAATAGTTCATTTTAACATGTCAAATACAGTGTTATTACGTTCTGTAGTCTTTTATTAATCGTTGCTCCATTATGCTATATAACCATACAACTATAACTCACTAAACTAATTTGGTGCGTCGTGTTAGGACCTGCGTCCATATTATATTGCTATTCCAGTTGTAACACTCTTAAAAGACCAATCTGAAAATTATACAAATTTATATAGAACACTAGTCATTTCTTCAGAGAATTTAAATTAAAAGACAGATGATAAATAAAAGCAGAGTTTAGAATATACCAAAGTAGTTATAAACATACAAAAAGATGTCACTCTACGTATTTTACGTAAAGTTAGTACATTGTTTCAAAGAATTTAAATTAAGAGACAGTTAATAAATAAAAGCAAGGAGTTGAGAAAATATTAAAATCATTACAGAGATAAAATGATTATTAACAATGTCAATACATTGTTAATCTGCTGAGTATGTTTGTCATATTTACAACATAGAAACAATAAAAATTACACTTACATAATGTAAACACAAATCCTGAAGTACCATATTTTACACGTACACCTGTTAGTATGTCCCTTGGTGTAAGCACATATAGATTTTCTGCACATAACACGACACAAGATAAGACAGCATAAAGTATAATTTCACAAACAAATTGGTGTACATGACAATAGCAACACGTCACAACACTGAGAATGGCACGATACCCCAGTATTAGGTACATAAAATATATCATAAAACCTCTACAAGAAAATCTCATCAACATATGGGTTACCTTGAAAAATAAAACCTATGTTCCTCAACATGTTTCGAAGACATATATGTATATACAATTTAAAACTGAATCTATTCCATTCATCATAACATGACCGTCCTTGTATTTGTTGATTAAAATTTTTATTTTGTATAATTTAAAAATAAACACGACTAGATATATAAATTCAAAATGTAGTATTGCATTCCGAAAATGTCAAAGTAACATAGGTATTTACATAAAATGAGTACTTCTGATTCGATGCTCCGGCCGCATTGTGAAAACTCGAGTAAAATTTAATTAAAATATCCACTAAGAAATTTAGTCGAAGCTACTCGTAACGGGTGATCGCAGTGCGGCCGGCGAGCGCGATTAGTCACGCAGTAACGGTGGGTGCGAAGCCGACGACTGCTCATTTAGAACAAACCTTTCTTTTTCTTATCCTTTTTGTCTTTGCCATCCACCGTCCTGCAAGAGATAATAGTTTAAGTTAAAATTCCGTTTGTTCTACGGTAGTATTTTTCGGTGGATTTTTTTTTTAAATCACTTTCGGTATATAATTTATAAATAAAAAAAAATATGCTCGACAACAATAACACCTGATGGGGTAGATATTAGTCGACCATTGTGTGAATGTATTAGTTGCTTTACATGCCCATATTTTGACAAGCATATTTTAATCCAATGTACGAATCATCTTAATTCAATAAACGATAAAAAAAAAATAAGCGTGAACACGAAAATTACACTTTTAATACAAATACATTTTGCTCAGCAAAAAAGGCGTATACAACCATGAACACACACATCGATGAATGACAAATTATTTTGTTTGAAAGTTGCTAAAAAAGAAATAGATTATAAAAGCTACTGACTGCATCAAGTAAAAGGCTAGTTTCATATTTTCAGGGGGCACGTTTTACGAGCAGCAAGAGAACATTACAATTTAAAAAAAATAGGGAAAATATAAAAAAAATGTACTGACTTCTTACTGATGGCCTCGAAAGAACGGCGGCGCAGGTCGTCGAGCGAGAGACCAATGTTGCGTTCCTTGCTCCAAGAAACAATTACTATTGCAAAACAACAACTATGATAAAATCATTACTAAGTCCATGCTTTTGGCGAGCGGCAGCGCTAGTCGTCGAGCGAGCGACCAAGTCTCGTGTATTCAATTGACGCGCCCAGAGACCAGCAAGACACAATTTCAATTTCAAAAAGCAAGTATGATAAAAAAGATACTAACTGCATATTGTTGGCCTCGAGCAAGTCGTCGAGCGAGCGGTCAAATGTCGTATAAGCAGACAACGCGCGCGGCGAGCAACAAGAAACAATTTCAATTTCAAAAAACAAGTATAATAAAAATAGACACTACCTCCTTACTGTTGGCCTCGAACAAGAGAGTCGCAAGTCGTCGAGCGAGCGGTCAAGTCTCGTGTAAGCAGGCAGCACGCGCAGCGAGCAGCAAGATACAATTCCAATTTCAAAAAGCAAGTATAATAAAAATAGACACTACCTCCTTACTGTTGGCCTCGAACAAGAGGGGTCGCAGGTCGTCGAGCGAGCGGTCAAGTGTCGTGTAGGCAGGCGGCGCGCACGGCGAGCAGCAAGAAACTATTCCAATTTCAAAGTTTTAAAAAGCAAGTTCCAATTTCAAAAAACTAGGTACTGACTCCTTGCTATTGGCCTCGAGCGAGCGGCGGCGCAGGTCGTCGAGCGAGAGGCCAGTCTCGCGCTCCCAGGCGGCGCGCTCGGCGAGCAGCGCGCGCTGGCGCTCCTCGAGCTCGCGCGCCTGCGCCTCGAGCGCGCGCCGCGTGGCCTCGTGCCGCCGCGCCAGCTCCGCCTCCGACTCCTTCAGCTTGGCACGCTTCTCGCGGACCTTCATCTCGAACACCTGCCACATATTTACGTACCTACATAGTACATTTCTACATAGTAAAAAGTCACTCGCTCGCGTGTTTTTAAAACACACAACGGATTTTGATATGGGTTTCACTGTCAATTAGACATTTTCTACCAAAAGTATGTTTCATCAGTATGTTATTCCAATTTGTAACCGTGCGAAGCCACGGTTGAGTGCTAATATTCTTATTATATTATATTCTAATAGCACCATACGATTGACGTTCTAACATTAAAAATATGAAAGTTTGTAAATACATTTGGTACTCAACCACGCCTTAATAGCCGAATGGACTGGAATAAAAACAAATTATACACAGACAGAACATACACTTAAGGCATAATTTATCTCAATTCACATGGACAAAACTGCGGGGTACTACTAATGTTATGTTTTGTAAATATGGGTACTCAATTATTTTTTTACTCAATTGAACACATTTTACGAAAAATATATGCAAAAGGCGACCTGAACACTATACAACATTCTCTGTCAAATAAAAATATAAGGTGTAAAGCTATGAGGTAAAGCTGATATCCTTATAAACGTCCAAATACTTCAGATCCAACAAAACAAATTAATACAAATAAAACACGCTGTTTTACCAAACATTATGATCGGTTGCATTGGATTTGGTTTAATTTAAAACTATCATTTTTAAAATAAATTAGTTTTTTGCCAGCTACTTCATTCACAAGACAACCAATGTAATAACCAATCTAGATAGCGTGTCAAAATAAACGATATTTTTAAGTTAATACAACAGTGTAACCCGCATTCATTTTGGTGTAGCAGTTATTGTATGATGTCAGAAAAAACATCTGTGAGTTTTTCCGGCATCATGCAAACTTTTTTAAAATTAAAGTAATTTAAATTAAATTTAAATGCAGACAAAATAAAAAAAAACTTTTTGGCGTCAATTGTTCCTGTTTAAACCTCTTATCTCAATTTTAAATATCTTTCATGTGCAGACAGTCAATTTCATTATATTAGTAAAATCAGAAAGTATATTCATTTGAATAAATTCTAGGAATTTCTTTTGAAATATTCAACAATATTCAACTAATTTGAAATAGCAACAATATTCAACTTTACATAAATAAGTGGTACTATCCTCTGTTAGCTTGCAAACTCACCTGTTCCATCTCGCTTTCCATCTTCTTCATCTTAAGATCATGTTCTCTCTTTTCCTCTTCCATTTGTGCCAAAGGATTCCTGAGAACAAATATCGGTCCTTGAATATGACAATATCCTACCTCATTTGTTACATAACATACTATATACAACATCACAAAAAACATCATATGAAAATCATCTGCACAATTTTTTCAACATATCTTTAACAGAGAATATAATTTTCGATTAACTTTACATACAGTCTCAAATATTTTCTAAACAAGTTTTAAAATAAGAACGGAATGTAGAAAATGACTTCTACAGAATTTTCAGTTTATTTCTTTTTTTTTTTGGTCAACTATGTATTTAATGAAAAAAGAAGTACATAGGTAATTTTTCGTATTTATTAAGAAGATATTGCACATAACTAGATTAGTATTTTAATATTTAATAAATTTAATTAAATAATAATTGAAATTGCTAAAGCTTATAATACTGAAAATATACCTACATATGCATCTAAAATTAATCACATTCAAATAGCAAGCCATTCTTTAAATTTAAAAAATATCTTTTCTAATTTATGTACAATGAAGAGAAAAACATGCAAGTATAACCAATACACATCTAAATATTCACTCTATCTCTCCATTTCTTTATAATACATTTGCCTTCAAGTCCCAGGTAATAAAGTGATTATCCACAATGATAACATGTAAGAAAACAACTAAACAGCCAACCACTCGATATTAATTGACTATCTCGTTGCCTTATTACTTTTTGTTGCTGCGGACACGTCCTTTACATGTGGTCAAACATGCACATTGCAATATCGTTAATTTGCATCATATTGATGTATGGTGAATAAAAAAGTAACTTTTCATTATTTATGAATATAGGTAGATGCTACAATTTAATTTTAAAATTAAAAAATAAAAATATTATAACATAAATGTAATCATTATCATTTCCGATTGATTTATTACATTCATTATCACATAGTGTGATAATGAGTACTGTCAATAATTTCATGCAGAATTTGGGGTCAGCGGGGACCGACGAAGTGACTAGAGAACATAACATATTAAACGATGCACTATGTTGCTCTATCAAACCGCCAAAACCTTCTGCAAGTTTGAGCGCCCTTTATATTCAACCGAATTCAAAAAATAGATTCTAAGTTAAATTAATTTCTCGATTCTCAGTTCAATTTTTCGCCAATACTGCAGGTCAATATGATTAATGTTTTTTTCAACAGAAAGGGATTTTACTCTCGTGTTACTTTCAAACTATTCCTATCCTAATTGAAGTCGGTTGTTTGAGCCAAAATCTTAAATTATACCACATTCAAATGTATATTAATATTAAATAGTACTTTCAAATGATGACGTATTAGCGTTATTGCCATAATTCAAGTCGGTACGCGCCAACCCTGAACGTTTAATCGCAAATATAATATAGCTTCAAAATCTTATCAGCAAAGTAAAATACTGTCGCAAAAGTACCATCAAATTTATCGTCATTTTATTACTTATTTGTCGTACGATAGTGACTGAAGTGATGATATCATAGTTAATACCTACAAACAATTAACAAACGAAATAAAATTATAAAAAAAAATATATTTGCACTTATCTAATAATATTATCGAGTTTTATGGTATAGCAAACTTTATAATGAAATTGAATGAAAACGGTTGTAGACTGTAAAAAATCTAATTTGTTGATCGTTTAACATTTGCAAGTTGCAATTAAGCTCCGTACCGGCTACAACATATATACCAATAAGACCGTGCTACCTCACATGTCAAAAAGACCCCGTTCCAAACTGCTAAACCCACTAAATCAGATCGCTTTATACCCGTATACAACACATACAAGCATTATACTCTTTCGGTACCCACTGAATAGCGTGCAGCTTGCACTCAAAATATTTTACTTAAATTGTATCGCGTACGTGTTCATTCGTACGCTACTGTATTCATTCCATTATAGATTACCTGCAGACAAACACTCAGCATAGTGGGCGTTCCACGATACTAATCCATACAGAGAACTTTTGCGTGCGTCATGTTTAGGTTACGGTCATATTATGCAAGTGCTATGACAATGCAGTGGGTAGAGAGCTTAAATATTATCTTTCTTTACTATAATATTAAATGTATTATTATTTATGTAACACAAACACATAAAGTTATTAAAATATAAAAATAATAATTATTAGGTTTTCGTATAAAGGCTCTTCCTATATTTATATAGAGCCCAAAAATTTTTTTTAAATTGTTTTTACTTCAGTCAATATCTATACATGTTTGTTGAATTTCCTAGATAATCATTAGGTGATCAATGGACTCTCGACTCGGCAATATTAATAATACTTTTTATTTATCAATAAGCAGTAACCAAAGACGAACAGCTTTTTACAAAAGTGGACGTTACAAGAAGCAGATCTTGTGCTATATATACACAATGAACAGTGTAGGATGGCACTATGTAGTGTAACAGTAAATATGTACGCGACAGAACTTACCACACGGTCATGAAACTGTTCATCAGTCCTTGCGGGCACAAACTGAACACGAACACAACCAGAGTTAACGTACAACGCGCGGCTGTGCTCGCCCATTACTCGACAGTGGCATGATTAACTTATATAAACGTGAATTTTCAGATCAGATAAATAGATTTACTAATACAATTAATTTTATTTGATGCTATTAAAGTAAAACAAAATAATCTATAATAAAAATAATAAATATGCATATAATAGGGTTAAAATATACCAGTCTAGTTATTAGTTATGGATTAAATTAATATTGGCTACCAAATACGCTTAATGTAGTTTAATTACAATATATTATTCAATTATAAATTCAATAATATACAATGAAAATCCATTAATAGTAAAAAATTTGCAATAAACTAACATATTTTATATACAGAACCATCATGATTTTTTTTTTATATGAGAAACAAGCAGACCTATGCTCCCACCTGATGGTAAATGTTCACCAAATCTATGAATCAGCAAACTACATAGAGTACCACATTTGAAAATTAAATCGCAGTACTCATAAAATTTTATGTTGTATCCAACTTTCCAACAAAAATACAGCATGGAAGTTAACTGCTTGCTGTAAATAGGTATGTATTAAGGTATTATGCTCGCATATCTAAAAAAAAACCCTTAATTTGGTTATAACATAAATAAAAATCCTATTGTTAGTACTTTCCAATCATTATATCAAAATAAAAGTCAAATGTATACTTCGTGCAGTTGTTTACAACAACAGTCTCATTAAAAAAAACTATTTTAAATTCAAGCCAGTGAACACATCCAATTGTGCGACGATGTGTGACACACGCACACTGTAGTATGTAATCGTTTATAAAACATGTGAAAGATGTCTGAGAAACCGTTAATAATGCCACTGTAAAAGCAAATCATTATGATAAATGATATTTGTCATGGATATTTTTAAATGACCACTTAAAACAGTTTACTATAGAAGTACTCATATCAACGAATACAAAGCGATGTTTGATATTAATGTAGTTTTAAAAATGATCCATGAGAAATTAGGTGACAACGTTAACAAAGAGTATTCCATTTCTGCATGCCCAAGCACAGAACATTCAAGTAATTAAAGAATGTTTTATGCAACTATTCGATATAATAATTTATCTAAAATAATAAAACAAAACAAATACTCTGTAGCAACTGCAACAGTACATGAAAATATCGACAGTAGAAGGTGACCAGACATGCAGCAATGTACACTAAGGCATATAATATGTTAGATACAGGTTATTTCAATATCAGTAATAGATTAGCAAGTTTGTAAGTCTGGTCACCTTAAATGTGGTGACGGCAGTTTAATAAATAAAAAGTTAATTTGTAAATATCAATTATACCAACCCTGTCTATTTTGGTTGTTATTACTAACCATGCCTATTTCAGATTCAGTTAGAGAAAAGATCTGACATAATAAACAGTAGACGAAATTTTCAAGATTAATGAAATTAAACATAAAATATATAAATACGCTAGTATAAGTAAGTAGTATATAAAAGAGCAGAGATATTAATTGGTAGTATCAAAAGGCTAACCAACTTTTATACTGTCTTAAAAAAGGAGAAGGTTATCAATTAGATTGTTTGCATTTTCATGTTAAAACTGTAGAAAAATGTGATCTGTTAATTATCAACTCATATTAACACCATTAAAGTCATTATACACGGCGAACTAGGAAAGTTATTTGCTTAATGACGACAATTAAGGTCCCATTAAATGTAACTAATTCGAGGCTAAATAAACTGGGTCGCTGTTTAATATCTTTAGTCTAAGACATCCTACCTATATATGATCTTTAAATATTTATTTCAAGATTATAGTTCCATGTAATTTCTTATAAAAAAAAATTAAGTTATCAGACAAAAATATGTAATATTTTTTACATCTGTAAAGTACCATTAAAGTAATATTACACTAAATTTGGGTCGATAACCTACACAAACCTTAATTACGCGATAAGGGAGATGTTTCAATAGTCACAAATACATATTTAGTTGTACGCATTATAAAATTTTAGTAGCGGAATTTGTTACTTCCACTTCCCGCGGAAATTTTCAGTAATAATTTATTTAAAATACGCTTTCACAGTATAGAGAGTATAAGCCGACATTTTTATTTTCATTACAATTTTAATTCAAGCTAGATCATTTATCTAATGCCACCGTAATCCTACGATTACCAGAAGATGCGCCGAGCACCCCACTTCCAGCACCAATAATAAAGTCATTGAATCAATTTTCAAGAATACAGTTTACCTAAATTAATCCTAATAATCTTAAATTATTTGAAGTATATTCCTATTCATGAAATTTGGACCACAAAGTTGATCAGCCTTTCACCTGTACACATAAATTAAAATAAATGTATTAAGATGTGTTACATACTTGTTAGAGTTAATCCTATGCGGCTTGCCATCGTGAGAGAGGCCGGCGAGCTTACGGCAGCGATAGTTCTCGTAGTGTACCGAGCTCGTGACGTCTTTAAGGTCCTGAAGGTGAGTCCGAATCACCATATTGCGCAGAGCCAAGAAATCACAGTGCTCTAGATTTTCCACTGTAAATTAATTTCATTGAAATTACTATGGTTATTATTATGAGTAAATATTTTTAACTAAAAAATATATATTTTAGGCTATCAAATCTACAATATTCTTATTTTTAGATCAATTAAAAAAACTGATTAGATTAAAAATATTAACTATTAAAAAATAGAGGTTTTTATATAATTAAAATATATTTAAATTATATTAAAAAAAAATTCAAGACATTCACGATATTGCCTAAAATTTTTAATACTAGTGGTTAGTTCAAAAATATAATTATTATTTGTATGCGCAAAAGAAATATGTAATGTTCCTTTTAGCATTAGTGAATGTTTATAACAGAAATTTGTGACAAGTAAAAATAATTTATTTTACTTAAAATGTTAATGATATTATATTATATATAAAATAGATTTAGTGTATATTGAACTAGCAGATTGGTTCCGCGTGGACTTTTGTGTTTGCGCGGAAAATTTTCTACCAATATGAATTAAGTTTTTAAAAAAATTGTGCAGTATATTTCCCAGACAATTATTTCCAAGCGACTTTTTTCCACACACGTAGGTATGTATAAATAACTAACTATATTCGAGTTGTTTTCTTTCCACGGTGAATATAATTTCATACATACTTACGAAATACTTGGGTATTAATTCTTAAAAACAAAATAGGCTGGCTCGTTTATTTTACACCTTACAATATGTATTCATATGCTAACAAAAAGTTAAAACGTACCCTCCGCGATGCCCCAAGGGTATTTCCTGCCGCGAATGCGGCGTCCGTCTTGCTCTATGACGGTGTTAGCGCCAACGACGGCGAAGGGAACGCGCGATCGAATAGCCCGCGTCGCGTCCGCCGCCTCGCCCTCCTCACCGCTGCTCTCAGGGAAATCGTAGATCTTGATCTTGTGTTGCGCGATTTCTTTCATTATCTAAAATGTTAGAATAAACATGCATATTAAAATGTAAAACCTCATGATTGTCATTGTTAATTGGTTTTTAATTCTACAAAATAATATTATGAATTATTCAATAAATTATTAACCCTTTGCATAATGGTGGAAATTTCCATCATAACATTGAATGCCCAAAAATTATATAAAAGAACAAGTTCACTTTAAGTTGATCGTGTCTGGATACTTTTTAATGTCCAATGCAGAAAAAAAGAACATAGCTGTCAAATTTATTGTTTAACCATTTTTCCTTTAATTTTGAATATCACCTTCGTTTATTTCACCAATAAAAAAAGATCAAATCAGACAAAGAAGGGTTAAAAGATCAGAAAAATAGTAATACCTACATCTAAATGTATAGTTTATTTTGACACAATTGCATGCATTAGGATCCCGGATATTTAAACTCATCATAGCATTGGTTAATAGGTAATCGTGGAAATGCAGTAAGCATTAAAATCATTAACACATACCTATTCATATTTATAAAAATATTAGTATATAAATATGGATATTTCCTATATTTTCAATTAAAAATTAATTTAGTTTAATGCGCCTCACGTATTAATAAATTAATTTGATAACTGAAATGATTTTCAAGCGCTTATTGTCTACTGCTGTAAATATACGTCCTTCATAGACCGCTACAGTCATTTCAAATTAGAACTTAACTCACCTAAGTTTTAACTCTGTGAAAAGCGCTCACTTGTTCTTTTCACTCTGCATTATGTATTACTTATTTCTAACCGTGACTTCGTCCACATGGCCCATATAGAAATTAGCCTACGCCTTTCATCCTGCATACTATGTGTATGCCAATTATTATATTATAAATAATATAAGTATAGTTATTATAGAAGTATAGCAATTGCATGAACCATTATGGCGCCAAATGGTAATAAATAACAAACTCACTAACACTATTAATAAGGACAGACACGAATATAAAAAATACAATTTGACAAAAGATAAGTTTGGCAATCCAAAGAGGTAATGCTGCCAGTATCTTGGGTACGCTGCCTCGGTGTGGTGCGTTGGGGGATTACTTATAATTAGTATTAGTATTTAAGGGATTTTATATTAACTATAATTAAAAAAAAATGAAAAAAAAATTTGACATAACTACCTGTTCTTTGAAGTCCTTGCATTCTTCAGGTGTCATGGTGTCAGCTTTCGCTATGACGGGAATGATGTTGACTTTATCGCCGAGCCGTTGCATAAATTCCACATCAAGCGGCTTCAGTCCGTGTCCGCTGGGTGCGATGAAGTATAGGCAGCAGTGGACACGGGTGTCGGGCGGCGCCGCCTTACGAGTCACGCGGGACTCCGCATTCAGGAACTCTTCGTATTTAGACTCCACAAAATCTATGATGGGCTGCCAGCTGAAACAGTTAATTATATTTAACATTCCATTATAAAAATCTCCACAGTATTATAGAAAAGGTTTTAAAACAGTGATATTATGAATAAACTTGACAATTAAACTGTCAAAATTGTATCACCCTACTTTACTCAACTCGACAGAGCGAGAACTAAATTGTATCGCTTGAAAGAGTTTGAAAAGTAAACATACCAATTACTATTATCAACGGCATCACCAAATCCGGGCGTGTCGACGATGGTTAACGTGAGGTTGACACCGTTCTCCTTGAGCAAAACAACGCTGGTTTCCACGCCTACCGTTTTCTTCACCCGCAGCGATGGTCCTGGGTGCTTATCTTTGTCATACACGTCCGTTAGGAACAAAGAGTTTATTAACGTCGACTTGCCGAGCCCTGTTTCACCTGTAATAATATTTGTAACATTTATATTAACTTATTTACTCCTTAACTCATAATTCGTTTTATTCAAACTTTTGAGAAATCTTAGACACACATGGGAGAATTCTTGTGTAAATTTTTATATTAACAATTCAATTTAAACCATGCGTTGTTTGTCAGTCAGTAATGAGTTTTATATGAAATAGATTAATTCTGATCTTTGAAACTCTACTACTGAGGATTGAAACTTTAGTCATCTATGGATATGGTTATATCCCTACATAATAACTCCTAAACCAGGGATGTTTATTATGTGTATGAGTAGTTGTATAATAATAGCGTACCTGCGTAAGTCAGTAGGTACTCTTCATATTATCATAATTATTATTCAAAGCAGATGGTCATTCCGCATTGCAGTATGGCAAATGCATTGCAAGTTAATTACATAAATATGACACTCAATAGAAATAAATCTGTACCTATCTATAAAAGAACTAATCCTCGCTCCACATCGCTGTCATTTTGTTAATACCAGGAATTTAAAAGACATTTAAGTTGGCCACCTATTTTTTTTTTCAACAATCAAAAGCGAGTTATGTAATAAATTTACAAGTTACAAAAGCTATTATTTTTCTAATACTATGAAGTATTTTTTCTATTAGTTTATAAAAATAATTACTCTATCTTAACTATTACTATGATGTTTTATAGATCCTACATGAGTAGGATCTATAAAATATTTACTTTTATGAAAAAGTAAATGTTTATATAGCTGTATGGATGTTTGTTGCTTAAACAGCTGAACGGATCTTAATGAAATTTGAAACAAGGTTAAACCATATCCTAGATTTGTTAATCTGACATATAAGATATAGATTAATATAATTATTACACCTAGTACATCATAAATTCATAATATTATGCAGGCATAATAGTGATTTAGTTTGTATAACCAAGAAATAACACATTAATTTTAATGGTTTAAAATTCTACTAAGGTATATATAAATATGAATGTGTAAAGAAATTTGATACATGGGTAGGTTATATCCAAAATTAACACATAGGATATTTTAAATAATAATTCAAGGGGGCAAAATCGCAGTAAACAGCTAATAATTAAATAAATAAAAAAAAATTATATTGAACTTACCTACTACCATTAATGTAAATTCAAATCCTTTTTTTACTGCTTTCCTGTACACCTGGTTTGGGAGATTTGCAAATCCAACGTATCCGTCTAATTCTTTGGTTTTTGGCTTTTCTAACTTAGGTAAATCTGGTTTTGGCGCAACTGGTGGGTGCTCTGGTTTCTATAATTATAAAAATAAATTCTCAGCAAAAGTATGCAACAGTTCTAAATATTTAATTAACCTAAAATAAAATTGCTGCTTTGTTTGCACTAAGTCATTGTTCGGAGTCATTTGTGTCATGAGAGAAATCTCTTTATTGTTGTTGAAAGTATCCGGTGAGGCATTCCATTCAATTATATTGGATAATTTAAGCATATAGTATTTTTTAAAATATTACGGTATAATTTAAATATTATATACAAATACGTGCAATATATTTAAAAAACGTGTTAAGAAATTAAGTATTATCATCATCATCTTAGCCATTATCTGACCACTGCTAAACATAGGCCTCCCCCATAAATTGCTACAAGAAACGGTTCTGAGCCATATGCATCCACAGACTCCAGCAATACATTTGAGGTCACCCATCTAGTGGGGGATTGTCTTACATTGCATTTGCCCGTACAAAGTCTTCACAATCGGTTGTCGGTTCTTTGAGCTATGTGACCAGCCCATTACCACTTCAATTTGCTAATCATTCATTCATGACTTTGATTCTTTTGCAGATATCCTCATTTCAGATTCGAAAATGTCATTTCACGATCATTAAAAAGTAAACTGACTACTGTTATATGTTTTACTTTCGCAATATATACATAACTTGCAGTTAAAAATTCGGCAAGTCTTAACCGGTTATGAATTTTGATTGTGCCTTAATACAAAAATTGATAAATTGGCATCAGCGTTTAAATAAAAGCTTCATTAAAACTACACCCAAATGCTAATCCCTTGCGCGTTGCTATCGAAATATATTTATTTTTGTCACATTCTAATCAACTTTAGGACTTTGTTTATAGTCATACATTATGTGAGTCTAATTATTGGTGATCGATGAATTTAATATTGTACGAACCAATCAATAACTAAAATAAATTTTTAAATATACCATTTGCTAGACCAATAAGTACCTTCATAATGTTTTCAGTACTCCTAAGTGGAACAGGTCCTGAGGGTGGCGCCGTGGTTGGCACCGGTGGAGCTGGAGTCGACGGGGGTGCAGAATTTGAAAGTTTCGGTGTATCAACTGACACGCTGTTGCTGAGTTTGGTGGGGAGCGCTGTGCCGTTAGCTTCGTGATGATTACTGTCATACGAGTCCGGGAGTGTAGCGGAGCGTTTCGCCAGGGCATCCTTGAGTGCGGTGGGCGCGATAGGAGGCGCTGGCGGTGCGCCGCTGGGCGGGCCCGTCGCGCTTACGCCACCGCTCACCGAATCCGACTTGAAGAACAGCTCTCGTTTACTTTGTAACTGGAAACAATGAGTAACAATTTAAATATGTCACACATTGGTTCAAATAAGTCGTATCGGTTGACATTTCTGTGAAACTTTATTGTATTACAAATGGAACGAACATTTCGATTCGTAATTGTTTTAACAATATTGGTAACATGAAACCATATTAGCACTAAGTACATAAGAGTACATCACAAAATTACGATTAATGTCATCATAACCACAACACCTAATAATGTTTACGGGCCCCAATATAGAGCAACACCATTATGATTAATTACTTTGTTACTTTTTTAGGCAGGAAGATAATACTGATTTCATTATAAATAGTTGTGCTGAGCAATTAAGAACAAATAACGTAAACTAAAAAAATAAATATAAAATGAGTCTAAACATTTTTAAAATATCGTCAACATCCCCTGGGTATTAAGTGTTCATGGACTGTAACCACTTCTCTTCACATAGACCTTGGTTACTCTCTATAAATAAAATAAATGAATAAAATCTATAAATAAATTAATAACAAGTTTACTAATAATGGTCGCAACTATGACACTCGTCACTAAGTAAACAACTTAAATGCCTAAGACTTTAAATTGCCTTTGAGCTAAGCCTTCGAGGCTCTGAGAACTGTAATATAACGTGATGTGTATTATGAATCGGTCTAGCCGGCTTTGAGTGCAGATGACTCACCTACTTATACCAAGGTAACGTTTCTCGAGTTTCTAAGTAATACTGTATTATTATTCGTTGTATCTAACAAATTAGATAAAACAACATATGTATATAACGTTTTCTAATAAAGAAAATAATTTAAATTATATTTTGTTGACATACTTCATGAATTAAGTATAAACTATTATTACATATAGCTATTATGATATTTAAGAAACGCATAACAGCATCAAAATATGAATAATAAAATTATTCATACTTAATTAAACATAAAATATACAAGCAGGTACATTTTTTAGATTATTTTTTTTCATGATTCTATTTTTTTTTTCGCTTAAAAAAATGTTCAAAGAGGTAAATACAAATCGTTACAAGGTAAACACTGTCCATATCGACAGCTTCTACATTGTAAGATATCGAATTATCGACATGATACGATACGCATCATGTGAGTAATTACTTAAACAGGTAGGTAGATGAGAAGTTGCGAAGAATGAAAGCGGTGAATCACGCGGAACTTGGCCAACATTGCTTTGCAGTAACAACATGTAAATATCATAGAACTTATATCTACTCAACGATATATCCAATAACTATTCACATCAATGAAGCGTGCCAATCAATGGGCAAGATTACGCACCATTAATACAAACCCGCCCTATATTTCAAGTGAATAATAGATAGAAGATATGTACGTGCATCGACGATTGCTATGATGAATATTTCCTGCTCAGATTTCTCCAGTCTATTCAAATGTCAAACAGCCTATAAAGACAATTGATATGAAATTTGACGACGATTTGATAGAATATTCATTGAGCATACATATCATTATGACAACACGATCACACATATCAACATACTATATGAATCGAAAATGTAAAAATCTATAATTATATTTCTTATATCCAGTATTTGTTTTTTAAACCCCGTTACTACTGTAACTTCGTTTATATGAGTTAAAATACTAAGTAGATTTTAATTAAATATATAAATAGAGATAATATGAAATATAAAATCATAGGATATATATAGAATATATATATATAGACTGCCAACGACGGATATTTGGTATGTGACATCAAAACCTAACGCGGACTCCATTTGCGTCTGCATGATTATTTATTATCTTTGTAGGTATTTAATATTTCTCATTTACTTACAAACAATAACTAATAATAATAAATTAGGTCTATCAAAGAGACAATCAAAAACATCATAATTATAATAATAGCACCGGAGTCATATAGTTAGTATGCGCACGCAGATTTATTAAGTGTAACGACCTTATGCGCTTGCGGCGACTGTTCCATCTAATAATATCTTCTCCTAACCAACAATGGATTCGTTTTTATTGCAATTTCTAAATAGCATATAATAAAATAAAAATGTACTTTCTCGCATCCATATGGGAAATAATTTGAAAATATGCTTATTCTGTTTAACAGAATAACCAAAGATTCTCAAATGTTATTCAATTATAATTCTCAAACAAAATTTTATTATTAATAAATGTCAGAAAACATCTAGATGCTACGTAATCATTATAATTAAATGAATAATAATATATACCTACAATCACTCCGTCAAACAGAAAATTACACGAAGTAATACGTCAACAATCAAAGACTACTAATTAGTACTTACTACACGGATCCACCTCACAAGTTAAATATAGGCATGGTTATCGGATTTATTTACATAAAATTGACATAAATTATACACCATTTCTTTTTTAAGAACCAGCCAAGTTGGAGAGTTAAGAAAAGTTTCATTCATGTGGCAACCGCATTAACGCAACAGTTGTAACATCGATATACGGAGCATCACACATATACATTTCGGCATTTCATAAGGCAACATATTAAAAATATAGTACTTCAGTAATCTAACCATTCAAGATGGTCAAAACTACAAAATATCTTGCTCATTATTTATCGATTGGAACTATCAACCAAGGCAATATAAATAGTTTTTCCACCAATCAAGTCGATGAGTGACAAGTCCCAATTGCTCACTGATCGTGTTGTAGGATGCGAGCGAGCACTACCATCCGGCAAGTGTTTACCAGAGCACGGACACTGTAACGTAAATAATGAAAAACAACATCGGAAAGGCATATGTTTGTTTTCAATTAAACAAATATAAACAATCGACAAAATTAATTACGACTGAAGTGAAAAATTAAGAATCTAAAAGTATTACTTGTCTTACCATCCTCCCAATGTTTAATAACGAAATCTTCATGAAACAAAAAAAAATGTTTCGGGAATTCCCATAGAACAATTGAAAATGGACACTACATGGGCAAAGCCAACCAAAGTAGTTTTGCTCTAGTACATAAATATAAATTAAAATAAATACTCACGTTACTTTCAATGTCGCAAAGTTTACGTTTTTTCTTCCTCAAACTAAGTCTACTCTTTAGAGAATTGAACATTTTGCACTCCACTTATGTATAAATATATTTTTATAACACACTAACATACAAGGAAATACATTATAGTGGATCGATAACATATATTGAATTAAAATAATAGTATACCTAATAAAGCAATAAATTAAATCAGCGGCAGCGGAACAAAACAAAAGTGTCAGAGCAACTAACGCAGTCGATTTCCTCAACGGAATGAAGTTTCACGTTAAATTGTTTTTTGCATAACACATAGTCATTAGGTATGACTGTATAGTTATAAAAGTTGACAAAATTATGAGTAATAAGAACCGCTTTAACAAGGATTAAACAAGTCAGAAATAAATTAGTGAGTAAAATAATAAGTACCCACCTATAATAAGATTATTAGTAAAGTTGTTAACACATTCTAGTCTTGAATTGAGAAACCGAAACTATATTCCAAATGGAATAAAAAAATCATTTTTCCTACTCGTACTTAGTAATATTAGAAAATAGCACTAAAACCGTATAAATTCTTAAAAAATCAATGTAAATCAACAAGTAATACACCCACACTGGTAGCAAGCCCTCACTCATTCGTTAGATAATAGCGGTAGTCATTATACGATTGATTGGCTTCGATTGTGACGATGCCCCATTGTCATTTGGGTAAATGTCCAAGCAACATACGTCAATAATAAAACTAGCCGCTCTTAAAATGCATTATGATTTAGTACTTTTTATTCAAAATCAATAAAGCAGTTTTATTTTCATCGTGTAACAGAAGAATTTAAATATAGAAAACAAATTAAAAATGTGATTGTACGGTACTACATACTGAGACAATGACATTCAAATGTAAAGACAAAAGTAGTCACTGGTCGACAGCTCTTAGCTATATCAAAAGCGATAAACATTGAATAAAAAGAAAATAACACTGTCGTATCCACACTACCTAGAACACTCTCAGTTATACAACGCCAACGACGGCGCCAGTGTTCAGAGACGTATACTACCAACATAGCTACCGACGACTTATTGCAAATGACAATGACTCACTGTTACTGTCCTCCTATCTCAATAATGAGCCATATTAATAATAGTGTTTTGTATGTAAACAGATAGAGTTATAATGAATATGCTATAACGCATAAGTAGCACCACTGTTACGATGAAACAGACATTATATTGTTAATTCAAATTATCTATCATATGTAGATAACTGATATAACAACTCATCAACGTGGAGCAGAAATTCTGAAGCTAGAGAAACTAAATTCTCTTTGCGGTTTAGATATGCAAGGAAACAGAAATGTGTTGGTATTTTAATAGATTTTGAGCAAGACGTTGCCTTATGAAGACGGGAATTATTTATGCTCCTTGTATCAAGGACTGCACTGATTTTCTTACCCCTTAGCAAAAATAAAGTGCATAGTGACTGACTGTCACACAAAACTTTTATTTGCTAGTGATAGTCTTTATACAAATGAAGTCTGCGTGGTTATCTGTCCCAGTGGTGTCTCTATCGCCAAGCAGCTCTCTTTACTGTGCTTTAGTTTGATAAGAGGAATATAACATGAGGCAAATGTAATGCTGAGTACAGAGGTAATACAGTATAGTATATTTGAAATTGGCGTAATTTTTTAATTACATAACTTAAACCATTAATTATTATTGTAGAGAACATTTACCATTGTAATATTGTTTCCAAAACAAAATCGTCACTGTATAGTATGTCTACAGGAGTGCACCTGCGCAAGTTGGTTTCTATTATAAATTATGTTTAGAAAGTATTTTAGCATGTAGCTTATATACTTGTATTTTTTTTTACAACTGAGATGGCAAACAAGCATACGGCCCACCTGATGGTAAGTGGTTACCGTAGCCTATAAACACCTGCAATACCAGAGGTATTACGCGTGCGTTGCCGACTCTGAAGAAACCT